ATTACTTATATAATTCACAGTGGACCGCCTATAATTATAAAATCATTTGTAATTAATTATTTTATCTATTTTCTTCTTTCAAGGGAGTTTCATTCACTTATGAATCAATCTGTACATAAATTAGTACTCTATATTAATATTATCATTTTAAATAAGCTAAAATTTTGAACATAAATATCCCGAAATTGTGTTTTATTTAAATATTTTGGTATGCATTTCCTTTATGAATATTTGCTAAGCATTTCTATATTTGGATAAGCATTTGGAGAAGCCTAAATATCTCATTCCTAAATGTTTGGTACATATTTTTATGATCGTATCACTAATATTTGTTGCACTAATCCCTAAAGATTTGATAAACATTTATATTTGGGTATTATAATTATTACTGAAGTTAAATTAACATGTATTAATCAATGTTATCATGTATTTAAAGTAAATAGTATTTATTATTTATTATTTTTCACATATTAACAGATATAAAATATTTCTAATATGATCTTATCGATAAATTTCAACTAATTTTAAATTAATTATTCATTTAAATTTACGATATTCGAGTGTAATTTATATAAATTCAATCTCATTAATTGTTTATTGAGATCATTCCTTATATACACATATCGTAAAAAAATGTCAAAAAGTTGTTGAATAAATGCCAATATATCATGTGATATACTCTATAAAAAAATGAAAATGTTATATCTTTCGTTGCAAATTTACTTGAATTAATTATCACATATACTAAAGTTAATTATGCTTTATTAAATATTGGCTCCAGTCTAATAACAAGTCGGGTTAGAAAAAAAATATCATGAGAGTGTCATACAAATGTCAATATTTCATTTGGTATGCCATATGTCGAAAGAGAAAATCACAGATTTTATATTCTAGAGACAAATGTAGCAGAAGCGAGCCTTTAATTAATTATTAGCTAAATTAATCACAATTAACTCTAACCCAATTTGATATTTTATTAGTTATAGAAGCTATTTCAGTAATGCCTTTTCAAATATAAAAAATGAAAAAAAATGTCTTCGAAAGTTCTTAAAGAAATTACAGAATTAAATAATAAATTCGAAAAAGTTCAATATCCGTAATAGAATTTACGTGATTAATAAATAATTATATTCACATATCGAACGTATAAAACTATATAATAATGAATAGACTGCAGGTGAAAGTCAAACACTTTTCTACCTATACGGCCATTATTGCTGTCTCCAATTGAAAGATGATATAACTGGGCTTAATCATTATTATTCTAGACATGTCTTAATCATTAATGCAGTTAAAGACCAATTTTAGCACAGTTAATGACAGAGAATGTTAAATGTGATTAACCAAGAATCTCTCTGTTTTCTGTGACCAATAGACTAGTCCAAAATTTATTGCCACTCTCAATAATTACTTACTGAATCTCTTACATGATTTATCTTCCAAACTACTTTTTACTTTCGTAAATACGTTGAGTGTTTTTATCTGTTACTAATTTGTATACAGATGAGTTGTTTGCTTTAAAGCTGATTTGTATTAGTGTTATTATTATTATTATTTTTTTTTTATGAGATGAATAAATGTTAAAATTTCTAGCAATTATTTGGAGTGTTTAAGACTTGAAAAAATCGTCACTTAAATAACATTTGAATCAATTTTATTTACAAAACTTTAAATTAAGCAATATTTAAGGTAAAAAAATTTGAATTTTCAGTTGGTAAGCAATATTTTTAGTACTTTTTTAAACAATTTTCTCATTAAATGTGAAAACTTTTCTATTTTTCTCGTTAAAATATTTAAGATTAAATTTTCAATTTTAAACAAAATTAATTATTAATATTTTACTTTAAATAATATTTTTAAATATAAATTTATTTTTACCAGCAATAAATATTCCCGGG